CTCCCAGCATGGCAGTGGGGGGCTTCTGGGTGGTGGTGGTTGAACCCCTTTTTTACTGTATTCGTTCCATAAGATGCACGCACTTTCTCCCCCACTATTTGGGGGGAAGTGCGTCTTATGGAGCAAAAAATACGGTATGCAAGATTAAGTTTCATAAGTTTATGCATTAAAATGTCATTTGAAAAATCAGGTAGTTTCTTCATGTGGCTGCTCACTTCTGGATATTATGTAGTGATGACATGCTACATGTTCAGCCATCGACAGTTAATTTAAATATGTTACATGATATAAGCAGGTTGTATAAAAATAAATTTTGAAAAATGTTTTTAAAAACCTCAGTTTTAAAAATTTTAATCAATTTCTTTTATTTTTACTTTTAAAATATAATGATATTTTTAATTCAGAATGTGTTATAGCTAAAATATCTCATTATGGAATAGGTATGATAAATTCTAATTCTATATTAGACAACATAACCCTTCAATCTTTTTAAAAAAGTTTTGTTTACAGGTCTTGGATTAGAGTATCAATTTTATGGGGTTCCACAAACTTCTGTACAAAGTACTTGGGCTAACTTTTCTTTCTCCTCCAGGACCGGGTTTAGAAGAGAACATCAGAAACATCTCCAGTTCTCAAACTAGATTTCTATTTCTAGAGATACATAGCTGTTAAAAGGAACTCACAGATATGAGAAATAACAGACCTGATCAGCCCTTAATTCTTAAGTTATTCCTGGAGCTGTTTTTCTTTTGACATGTTTGTGCTAGAAATTCTTGGCGACTTACTAAATTCTGCAGCATTGCTTTCAATAGTTTCCTTGAATTATATTGTTTCTCTTAGAACATCAACCCTAGCTACTGTCCTTCTACAACTTTGTGCAAAGTTAAGCCTTTATCTCTCTCTGAAAGAGCACACTTTCAGACACTGGAAGTGTCAATGAATAGATTACTGGAGGTCAATATGAGCAGAGAATTTGTGGAAAATATATGTGCAGTTACAAATAAATATATGTGCAGTAGTGCACTGTTAGGGCAGAAAAATATTACATGATTAAATAAAGCTGTTATGAGTAGTGTGCTAAATCACAAATCAATTTGGCTATGCCCACATCCATACAGACAAACTCCCTTAAACACAATTGCATTGGCTAATATGAGAGAACTGCCCAAAATAAAGTCACTTCGGGAATAACTAAGGAAACTATCTTGACACAGTAGCAATGAAAAGGTTGGTGACTTTTAGCTACCATTTGTTCAGCACTGGAATAATACTGCAACAACACAGTGTTAGTAGTTCACCTATTTTGAAATGAGCTGCAAGCTTTTGTATTTTGAATTTTCTTAGCCAATATTCAATGTACCTAAATTGAATTCGGAATATCATACAATAATTTGATAAAATTATTTAATAATCCAACAAAAACTTGTCTCAAGTGAGAGAATATGTGTCTCCTCCTTTTTACAGATAATCTCAATTTCTCTATTTTGCTAATTTTTTATTTAAAGCTTCAAGGCACAACCATAAGGCATAAAAAGCCCTATAGTTCCTTCCTTTTCTTCAGATACCCCCCTGATTTTAAAACTATTGGAATCTTCTCCAGTGCTGTCATGGTTCATTCGGTAAATGATCAGGCCCCAATCCCTCCTATCTTCATGATTTTGCAATAAACATCAAGAATACCCTACTTTTAGTAAACTCTAAATATGAATAAATAGGCTTAAACATGTTATAAGCCCTGAAGTCTATAAACAGTTGACGATGGGAATACAAAACTTACTGTTCAGAACATTCTCCAGTTTTTGCGTCATGGATCCTTCCACTTTTTCTGTTCCATCCGCTTCCAGTTTTTGATGGATTGCTAGAATAAAGCACCTTGTTAAATGTCATCTGCTTCAATGTGTGAGACTGTATGACAGTTATATTCTTGTTAGATCTCAGAAGCACATACTTGTTAAAAGGGAATGTGTGATTTAGTGAAACAGGCATTGTGATAGGAGCCAGATATTCCAGACTGCTATGCTTTACTATGTTGCTAGCTCATGCTATGATATTTGCCAGTTAACTTAGGCATTACGAATGGGGCATGGTTGGATGCTTTCTTACTTAGACCTTTGAATTACAGTGGGATCTCTACTTAAGAACGTCCCTACTTAAGAACAATTCCACTTAAGAACAGCTCCATTTGCTAAATTTTGCTTCTACTTGAGAACAAAAATCCAAGATAAGAACAGGAAAAAAAAACTTTCCTGCTCTTTTTTTAACCTTAGGTCATCTTAGGTTAAAAAAAAGTTCTCCCCCTAGTGGTAGAGTACGTATTAACCAGCTTTGCATTAGTTCCTATGGGAACTAATGCTTCAATGTACGAACGCACCTCTACATAACAAAAAAACAGCCAGAACAGATTAATTGGTTTTCAGTCCACTGCTTCAAAAATAGCTTCGTCAGAAGTGCTTTTAACACTGTTCCCTGACCTAAGGGGGGAAAAAAAGAAAAAATATCCCCCTCTAGTGGTAGAAGGCGGAATAGCAGCTTCCCATTAGTTTCCATGGACGGAAAAGAGCAGATACAGATTAAATGGTTTTCAAAGCATTCCTATGGGAAATGCAGATTCTACATAAGAACTTTTCCACTTGAGAACCACCTTCCAATACGGATTAAGTTCTTAAGTAGAGACCCCACTGTATTATAAAGTGTCTTTTATATTGTATTTGTGTGTGCACATTTTGTGCGTTGTGCACACACGCACAAACTTTACTGAGTAAAGGACAAAAATAATTCTCTACTCTATAACAGCAAATAGTTCTACATCAAATAGTTCAACACAAAATAGATTAGAATTGTTCAGGGTTATTTGAGTTTCCATATGCAAACACACTTCATGGTACTAATGTCAGGTCTACTATTGCTGATTCACATTTGATCTGAACAAGTTACAGCTCTTCGTATGGCATTTTGGAACACAACAAACAGGAGCTTCTGGGATTAAACCTTAGTCACCATACCTATCTGACTGCTTTGAAGGTATCTGAAAATCTTAAGATTCTTCAGGTTTAGTAATTTAAGTTGCATGATATTAATTCACATCCCTGCTTTCTCCTTTTCCTTCGCTGCTTATACTGACATGAAGTAGATAGAGAGGTTACCTACCTATAACAATGGATCCCGCCCATCCTCCCCTCTGTCCATCACATTGTCTTTTAGATAGATAGATAGATAGATAGATAGATAGATAGATAGATAGATAGATAGATAGATAGATAGATAGATAGATAGATAGATAGATAGATAGATAGATAGATAGATAGATAGATAGATAGATTCTTTGACAGTGGCGGACTCTTACAGGAACTGAGGGGATGTCTGGTGGGCGGAGCATGCGCTCCACAGGGGAATGTCTTACTAAATCTTATGTCTTTAAGCTCTAGAAACTTCTGAGAGGTCCTGCACAGGCGCAGAACAACCCAATTGGGTGGATTCACAGAAGACCACTAGAAGAACCATGATCTAGGGCTTGAATAGGCCAAGACCAGGCTGGAATGGACATCAGCCAGAGATAGGCCAGTACTTGGTGAGAGGCTAACAACAGAGGCTGTAGCCTGGGTAGGTGTCAAAGTTGGATCATCTCTATTCGAGATTGAACCTTTAGATGACTCCTCCAAAATCGGCGATGGAAGTACTGACTGGGATTGGTCTATATGAGCCGATTTTGTAGGCTTCTTAGATTTAGGTTTGTCCTTTTTCTTAGAGGAATCATCTGGGCGGGTTGTAGCCCTCAACATCAAGGTCAATTTTGGAGCCGACTTAGTTTGGTCCTTCTGTTGGAGTGGAGGGGTTGTTGGGCTCGAAGCCTCATGGCGCTTTTGACGCAGGGACATCATCAGATCCATGGGAGTGGGATTAAAAGATTTTTCCCAGAGGTAATAACGGAATCTTTGCAGCCGCAATTTAAGTGCGGGCTTTGTGAGTTTCTTACACTCAGGACAGGCGTTTGTCTGATGTTGCTCTCCAAGGCAGAAGAGGCAATAATTGTGACTGTCTGTGAGCAGGATTTTATTCGTGCAGAGCATGTACCGCTTGAAAGGCCCTGGAGGGGCCATAAAAGGTAGGGAAAGGGGGAAAGGAGAGGCAGTGGGGGGCGCGGAGAGAGAAACCGCGGAAAAAGGAGCACAAAAGCGATTTAGATAATCAAAAAGGAAAGTTAAAAAAATCTAACAGGAAAAACGTCCAACAAGAGAGCTGATTAAGGAAGAAAAATAAAGGAATAATCTCATGAGTAAAATCGAACAATAGCTCTAGCGTTCCGAAATAGGTCCAACCGAAGTGGCGGCAAAAAGGAACTGAGGGGACTTCTGGTGGGCGGAGCATGCGCTCCACGGGGGAATATCCTACTAATCAGGTCTTTAACCTCTAGAAACTTCCGAGAGGTCCTGCACAGGCGCAGAACAACCCAATTGTGTGCATTCACAGAGGCCATGAAGAAGAATTATGTATCTTTTAAAGTGATGCCAAACTGACATGGGGAGGAAGACTCAAATCATGCCACGTCCACATATTCCTAATACAAAAAAGCTGGCAATGTGGTGAAAAGCAGAGAACAATTATGTTTAATTGAATGTCTAGCTTGCAAAACTAGTTATGAAAAAGTTTGACTGGAGTGATATCTAATAAAAATGTTAAGAGATAAAAAAAGACAAACATGTTTAGAAGCAATTTTTGCATTAATATGCCAATGCAGATTTTTATCTGTATTTTTTTTTAATGTACTCTTTTTAAGGACCTACTTTCTGACTAGAACAGTTTCATTCTTACCTCTATGTATCACTAGAAATAAAAAAAACTGTTCCTTCCATAATTGTTGAATGTTTTAAAATTGGGTCTTAACACAAACACATGCGAAATATTAAAGATACAGTGGTGCCTCGCTAGACGATTGCCTCGCGGGATGAAAAACCCGCAAGATGATTGGTTTTTACAATCACTATGGTGCCTCGCAGAACATTTTTTTCTATGACGGTGCTTTGCAAGACTTTTTTTTGGACTGATGCTTCGCAAGACTTTTTTTTTTAGCCCGATGCTTCGCAAGACTTTTTTTTTAGACTGATACATAGGGAACCTCACAATATGATTTTTTCACAAGACAACAATTTTCGCGGAACGAATTAAAATTGTCTTGCGAGGCACCACTGTATTTGAATTCAGGCATTTTGTACGAACTCTTATCAGCTCTGTATGGAATTCTCTGAAAAGGTGTGTATTTTATGTTAACCCACATTTGGGTATTAAGAAAGCTCACCTGCCACAACAGAATAATATCAGCAGGTACTCAGGTCACTAATTTCTATTAAAAACATATATTAACTACAGATGGAGGTAATCCTATACGAATATCCCTGCACAGATGGAAATAATGATGGTCCAGCCCACTGGGGCCAGATTGTCCACTCACGATTATGCCACTGCCACCAGCTCCATTGAGGCTTCCTATCACACTGTTCTCCACAATGGATTAGCCACTCTCCGACCTAGCAGAGAGGCTTGTCAGGACTGAGTAATCGACTGCAGACAACGGCATGATAGGAAGGTCCAATGAGCTCGCATCAGTGACGAAATCGTGAGTGGACAGTCTGACCCCATGGGGCTGGACCCTCATTATTTCCACCTATGCGGGAATATTCGTATTCATATACAAATACCCCCATCTCTAATATTAACTAATATATTTGGTAGGCAAATGATAGAATGTTTCCAGTAGATGTTCTTCTCTACTAATTTACAATACTGGAATTTCTAGTTTCTCATTGTTGTCTCCTAAAATATTAAAGAGTTATTTAATCCGTCTTCATTTTCATTCTTCCAGAAATCAGCTTACAGATTATGATTTATACTGTTTCCTTCATATTTCTTACCTGACAGGGCATCTTGTGCTTCAAAAAAAGTGCTGAGACCTCCCTTGACATATTGTAGACTTCCCTCGTTCTTCTTGTTTGCTTGTTTCTTCAGATTCATTACAGCCATTTTAAGCTGATCAAAACTAAAACCAAAGAGTAAGAAGAAAGTATGTGGCAATTATACAATAAAACAAACAAAAAGATTCTTAATGATATGTGAATCCACCCTAGAAAAATTTCAAGCATGTAAGAAAAATTAAGAAATAAAAAAGAGAGGTTACTTACCTGTAACCATGGTTCTTCTAGTGGTC